CAAAAGGGAATCCACTTGTCCGAGTCCAGTTCATGCTGGTTTGCTACCTTACGTAGTTTGTAGTTTTTCTGTTGTCAACTGCATTTTGGTGGTGGTGGTAGTTTTGGTGGTTTTGGTGGTCTGTAGTAGTTCTGGCTTCCTGGATCAAGATAGCTCATCCAGTCTTTTTTTGCGGTAGGCTCTGCCCAGTGCCCCAGGCTCTTTACTGGCTTTGTATTAGTTCTTTCTCTGTCTGCCCATTATAAACTAAGCCCCACAGTGGCCGGAATTTTCTCTTTGTACCTTTCTGTATCTCCAGCACCAAAATTAATATTTAAAAATTCAAATTCAAGGAGAAACAGTTGAATATTACATTAATTTTTCAATATGTACCATATGGAATTGTAAAACTATGAATAGATCCAGGATCCCTATGTCCCAATACTTTGCGAGTGCTATCAATTCCTTTTTTCCTTTGCCTCCCTTGACAAAAGCCCCAGGAAATCTCTGTGGTCTCTGCCCTCTGTTCCACGTGTTGTTTTGCTTCTATTTCCCAGCCTGCACTGCAGCCTGGACCCAGCTGTCTATAGCAGTGTGGACTTCATCCACCCACCTTCTCCCGTCCGTCCACTCAGCTTCTATCCCCTCTGAATTGAGCTGCCCAGCACTAGATTTCTGAGCCCTCTTGGGTTTTTCTTTGGGGGCACTGTCTATAGATTTTTCTTTTCTTTTTGTACATTTCTGTATAGTTAATTTTTTTTCTAGATTATTCTTCTGGGATCTGAAACAAGACCGCCTTTCTGATTGACAGACTCAGAAATATTTGTTTTTGATCAAAAAGGTCATTTTTAATTGAAAAGAGTTTGGAGGTTGAAGGTGGGTTGCTTTGAATACATGAAAATATTTCTAGTTATTATAAACCAAGAAGCCTTCATGTTCACTTAACTCATTTTTAAGACACCACACTTGGTTTGTTTGTTTTCTTTTTTTTTTTTTTTTTTTTTTTTTTTAAATGCAGGCTCTGGGGATTGAACTCATGTCCTCATGCTTATGAAGCAAGTACTCTACAGTACTTACTGACTGAGCCATGCCTAGCCCAGCTGACTTGTTATATCGTTGCCTTCTCCGTCTCCTCTCAGTGAAATGAGGGTCCAATGAAGGAGTAGTTTTGTCATTTTAGTTTGCTTTTCTAACCCCAGTATTAGAACCATCCCTCACACCAGGCAGGGACAGTGTCAGCTTATTATTTTTATGAATAAAGGAATATTTGACTGAACAAATGTTTAAGATGGGGATTGGACACATTCTTGAAGATTTTGCTATCTTACCAAGTTGATATCTACCAGAAGAGCATTGACGTTCCTGTTTCCCAACACTCCTCAGAATGTGGAAATCTTTTATCTTTTTCTTTTTTCTAATCTGGTGATTACAAACATGATATTCTTTTTCTGTTTTTTATTATGATTTTCCATGTTTATAGCTACCCTGAATGAAAGAGGAGTTTTTATTATTGTGTGTCTCTTTTATTAGAAAGAGAAATCTTATCTTAAACTCTTACATTCTACAGGTCCTTCATTGATTGACCCATGTTTCCATTACGTCTTATACTAGAGTACAGATGATACTAACAAATACTTTTTATTACTGAAGTCATTTTCCAATCATTATTAAAAACTTGAAGACTAAACAGAGGTAGAAGACCTTTGCCATGAGTCCCAAACATTTTTATATTTATTATTTTTTCCTATATTTTTCTATTCTTTGCATATTTTAATAAGTCTAATAATTTAATCTAAACTTGCAGCAGTCTTTTTATCTAAGGCCATAGGAATAATTTTTTCATAATTTTTTCCTAGCCAACTACACGCAGTTTCATGTCTTCATGACATCCTGTGGGCTTGGATATGCTTTAGGCAAATCTCCTATCATTTCCTGTTGATGGAAAGTTATTTCTTCCTTCCTCAAGCTTCATTAACTATAATAGCATGCATACCCTGATTTGTAATCAATTTTTAGTTTGAGAGAGCTCATTTTTATAGGATGTTCCTAGAATTGAAACTGTGTCAAAGAGCATGAGTGTTTACAATGCCAAAGTTTTTCAAAAGAATTGTCCGTTTACACAGCCAGTTTTAATGTCTGCAAGTGGAACTAGTTTATGCCAGTTAATTTGTATCACTAGAAAACGGGTCATAGCCTTTTTTCCTTTTGGACCTTTGCCATTTGGAACTTCATTCAGAATAAATAGTAGTAAAAGCTTAAATACCTCGAATGATTGTGGTTCACACACAGTCTCTCTGGCAGCTTTTTGCAAATTTTAGTAGCTTAGGGATTTTATTTCCTATTTTTTTTCTCCTCTTTGTTGCTTCCTTCCCTCCCTCCAAGTTTAAAACATGTTTTCCTGGCTACACTTAAGCCTCAGTACTTCTTGTTCTGTCTTTGTTGATTAATGAGTGTAATTGACCTCTGTTGTCTCTATTATACAATCCATGGCAATTTGTTTTTCAGGAGCAGTTATTTTCTGAGCTGTCTCAAAACTGTCTTACAAAAAGAGGTCATTATCAGTCCAAAGGAAAAAGAAAATTTAAGTGATAGAATGAATAACGTCCCTAAGAGAAGGAGGAGGAGGAAAGTCTAAGCTGTTCCAGGGTCCAAGTGAATAAGTGAGCTTTAGGGGCAAAGTAATTAGTTGCTGCTTAGATGATGCCCAGCAAGACTTGCTTATATCTAGAAATTATTAGATTAAAAATGGCTCCCCCATGGACACTCTTATGGCCTGGATAAATGTAGATCCAGGAAACTTGCAGTGTAACATTTTGAAGCCCATTAGAAGCTGGTTATAGAAAATCCAATTAAGCATCTGTATGTAAAATTAGGGGTGACTTCTAAGTTGGAAAATTTTATCTGAACAGATATTGGCCACACAGAACAGACAAATACAGTGTTATGTGTGTGTTAGAAAATACTTTGTTTGCCAGAGAGATCCCCAGCTGGTAAAAGTGCTTGTCTCCCATGAGGATCTGAGTTCAGTTCCCAGGACCCATGTACAAAAAGCCAGGCATGGTGGAATGTACTTGTAATCCCTGTGGCGGGTAAGCAGAGACAGACAGATCCTTGGGGCTCTCTGGTCAGCCATGCAGCCTAATTGATGCATTCCAGGCCAATGAGAGTCCCTGTTTCAGATAACAAAGTGGACTGCATTATGAACCACCAGCAGCCAAGGTTCAAGGTTGTCCTCTGACTCTCTCTCTCTCTCTCTCTCTCTCTCTCTCTCTCTCTCTCTCTCACACACACACACACACACACACACACAGAGCTTTGCTATTCATCCATCATTCATTTAGGATTTTTATGACCCTCTACCTCATAATCTCAAAAAGTTTTAGTTTTTTAAATTTTACTTTGATTTATGTGTACGTTGTATATATGGTGGGGTACCCATGGAGGCCTTAAGTGGGTACCACAATCCCTGTAACTGGAATTACAAAGGGTTGTAAACCAACCAACATGGGCACTAGGATCCAAAGTCAGGTCCTCTGGAAGAGCAGCTTAACTCTGAGCCATCTCTCTCAAGAAGTGCTTTGCTCTACTCACAAAAGAATGATGTGGCAGAAGGACAGGGAAGAGGTTCTAGACAGATGTTAGCTTAGCAAACTCAGCTTGGCACTAATTCTGAGTTCAAAGGAACTGAATTTTTAGTCTCTCTTTTTTTTTCTTTCTTTTTTCTGTCTTTTTGATATAGGGTCTCCCTGTAGCCCCCACTGACCTGGATTTTTACATTTTCATTTTTGTGACTATCATACATGAATATTGTCTTTGCAGTATTTCCCTCCCTACCAGTCCCTCTCCAAAATGATGAGACTTTACTGGGGTGGAAGAAGAGAAGAGATGAACCATTTTTAAAGTGTAATCACTGATGGAGTACAATTAGAAGAGAGGTTTGGGTGATAAAGTCCTTCCAAGAAATGAAGGAAGGAGGAACCTAAACAGGGCCGATTGCTGCTGAGGAGGGAAAGAACTGGGAGAACTGGACTTCTCTTGTGCAAGGCTTTGGGCCAGATGGGAGATTCTGGGAGGGACTTGAGAAATGAGTGGCTGAACTGAATTAAATCTCTCAGATCCTCTCTCTCTCTCTCTCTCTCTCTCTCTCCCCCCCCTCCTTTCCACTTCTCCCTCCCTTGTCACCCTCATTCAAAGGCCATTTCTCTCTCTCCCCCCCTCCTTTCCACTTCTCCCTCCCTTGTCACCCTCATTCAAAGGCCATGCACTTACATACTTACATAGTATGTATTCACTGTAGTAGCCAAGGCACTGACTGCATGGGAGGAAGTCAGAGAAATAGCTCTGAATCATAAATAAGGAAGAGCTAGGTAGGAGAGCATCACCTCTGTGAACATCCCCTGTGCAAAGCACCAGTGAGTGGGCTTGCCAAGGAACAGGGAACTGGATGTTCATGTTTCTCTTATTGATGCAGAAGGCTGGGCAGGCAACAGTACAGCCCCATTACAATGAAGGAAAGGTCACTGTTACCTTCCTTAATGCACTCTCTTTATTGGTTGAAATGTATGTAAACATAAATCCCTGAGAGATTTCTGAAGAATATTTTTGACACAAGTCCTCCATACCCATAGACACATGTGCGAGCGCGTGTGTGCACGCACGCACACACACACACACACACACAGAGTGTTTTGTGTCATACCCTCTCTCAGCTGTCCTACTGACAACAGATCTCCCCACTGTCAAGAGCCGCTCTAGGGCAGAGGTTCAGTCCCAGCCTTCTTTCATGGGTTCCAGGTCCTCATGGTGACAGTGGCATGCCTCCCTTACCTGTGTGTATCGCGTGCCGGTTTCTGACATCCATGATCATCACAAAATCTGCAATGTTGTGAGGTTTTTAGGAACTTTCCTCTGGTTCTAAGCTTACATTTCTTACTATTTTCTTCACAGACCCATGCTCGGGTCGATCATTTACTTGGCATTTAGCTCAGCTAAGGCCTTCATATCTGTTTCTTCATTCACAGGTTACTCTGGCCAGGACTTCGACTGGGCAGATTATTACAAGCAACATGGGGCAGAGGAAGCACCACCCTTTTGCTTCAGAAATGTAAGAAATGTCCACCTACTCCCTTTAAAATCCTAGATGCTGTGGTTCTGAATTTTATAAACTGCTTTCTGTTCGACCCAGTGTAGAATACTGCCTTGCACTTTTAGATTTGAAATGTCTTCATTTCAAGCTGTGTTTGTTAGGGTGAGGCTGGGCTGGATGCATTGACTAATAAATGCACAGTGGCTTGAACATGTCCATTTAGTTTTCACTTTTAGAAGAATCAGGGGAATTGCTGACTGGTGGGTGGTCCACATAATGATGAAACTTGGGATAGACTTATCACCTTAATCTAGTCAGAGGATAAGAAAAATGATCAATGAGATGAAATCCTTAGTTTGAAACACCATGGTCTGATAGGGATATGTGTCATTTCTGTTCATGCTCCATGGTCAACATTAGTCTCCCAGCTTTTACAAGGCCAAGAAATGGGTCCTGGTTTCTGTTGCTGTAACATTGCACAGCTGCTATTCTGTGCTATAGGAGAAAAAGGTCAGAGCCGGTGAGTGGGTGGCCCTCTGTGACACCATTGGGTATGCACTTATTCACACTGTGTAAACGGTGATACACCCACGAATCCGAAGTGCTTTGCTCCCGAAGCTTAGTAAAACATAACTTGGGCTGGGGGGGGGGCGCATAGCTCAGTGTAGGGTGCTTGCCTAGCATGCACAAAGTTTGTGTTCAATTCCCAGTACCTCATAAACCAAGTGTGGTGCTATATGTCTCTAATCTCAGTACTCAAGAGACAGGAGGATCAGAAGTTCAAAGCCATCCTCTACCACATAGTGAATTCTAAATCAGCTTGGGCTACATGAAAGTTTGTCTTAGATAGATAGCTAGATAGATGATTGATAGATGATAGATAGGTAGATAGATAGATAGATAGATTGATACAAACATACATAGATGATAGATAGATACATACATATATAGATGATAGATAGATGATAGATAGATATACATACATACATAAATAGATGACAGATAAATGATAGCTAGATAGCTAGATGATAGATAGATAGATAGATAGATAGGTAGATAGATAGATGATAGATAGATAATAAATACAATACTGTTTTTGTCACTAGTAAGATGCTAGTTAAATGGTTGGTGCTGTGCTTACTATAAAGTACCACCTTACTGTTGTTATAACAAAATTTTAGTGACATAAACGTGATAGTTATGTGTGCTTCTGCAATCACCAGGAAGTAGTTTGGTAAAGTAGTTGCTAAAAATTACTCATTCAAGTTCCATCAACCCTGGGGACTATTTCGAGGCATAGGAAAACTTGCCATTGTTTGAAACCATGAAGAGTGAGTGTGTCACCAGGTGTGTTCTGTAGAACTTAGTTAAGAAAGTAAATCCCTCATGCAGAGAAGAAATGATGCACTCTTAATTGAGACCTGTAACTCCAGTGGTGCGTAGCTTTCCTAATCAAAGGCTTATTACTGAACATGTGTTCCCAGAGCTGCTGATTCACTGTAAGGCATACTCCCAGGGTAGCAGAATAGGAGAAACAGTGAAGGAAAATGCTGGCTTCAGGAGAAGCTCAACTGAGCCTAAGTAAAAATGAGATTATGGAAAGTTAAGTGGCTTGATTACTACATTCATGTGTGCTCCTAAGTACAGAAGCAGTTCAGCAGCAGAGTTGGAAATCAGGGCTCCTTTGACTAGATGACCATTCTGTTCATGACCTTGGCTTTGCACAGTTTCTCTGCAGCAACGATGATGTGTGTTTAAGCTGTGAGATGGGGCAGATGTGGTGGTATGCCCCAGGAGCCCTTAAGGTCAGTGACACCTGACTTGGCTTTCCCTCATGTTGATGTCACTGTCTCAGATTCTGCTGGCCTAACTATATTTCATGGAGGACCATGGAAATAGCCTGCAATGTCCCAAAACCTGTTTGAGTGTGCTTTCTACCCCACAAGAGAAATAGTTCTTCCCTGATTCTTTGTTTTTTTTTTTTAATAAATAATCTTCCCTGATTCTTTCCCTGATATGAAAGAAAATTTTCATATCACTCCTTAATTCTGCCTTTTTTTTTTCCTGGCCTTTTTGAGACAAGGTCACCCTATAGCCGCAGCTGGCGTGGATTTGCTAATGGAGACCAAGCTGGCCTTGAACTCACAGAGGTCTGCCTGCTTCTGCTTCCCGAGTGCTGGGATTAAAGGCATGTGCCACCGTGCCTGGCTTAATTCTGTTTTTAAAGTATATCTGTTCCATTGTAGTGCAGTTAGTTCCATGAAAGGTTGAGTGTGTGTGTGTGTGTGTGTGTGTGTGTGTGTGTGTGTACATGTTTGTATGTGTGCAGGTGTGTGTGTGCGTCTGTGCCCACGGAGTCCAGAAGTTGATGTCTGTTGTATATATAATCACTTTCCACTTTCTCTTTTGACACACTTTCTCACTGAACCAAGAACTTGCTAATTTGTCTAGACTAGATGGCCAGCAAGCCCCAGGCATCTTCCTGACTGTGCCTCCCCTGTGCTGGGATTATAAGCATGTGCCCCATGCCTGACTTTTGACATGGGTGCTGGGAATCTGAACTCAGGTCCTCATGCTTGCACGGCAAGCATTTTCCCTACTGAGCCATCTCCCCAGCCCCATAAAAGGTTTTTTTTTAATCTGTCCCTTCATTCAGGAGTGTCCACGGGGCATTTCATTCTGGAGCAAGTAGCCGTGTACCAGGTTGGCTTTGGAGCTTTCACAATTCAGACACCAAGATTAAATCTGGCTGAATGAATTTGCTGGTGTATTTATTAGGAAGGCCTCTGTCTCCGGCCCACCATTTATTTAATAGACAGGAGTGCTGTTCTCCTGCTGCCATACACAATACATACTGAGACTCTGATGAATTTGTTAGCTTGCTACAAGTGCGCTTTAATGGAATGCTTGTTATGAATTCATTTTTTAATCACGCTTCTCATGTGTGCTAGAAGAGAAGCTGACGTGGAATTTTATTGGAAAAAGACATTTCCCTGGGGACGTTTAACAATCAGAGGTGGTTACAGAATAGATTGACATAGCCAAATGCTTAGTAAAACAAACTCAGAGGTAACATTTTTGCTATTGATCCTTTATAAATTACCCTCAAGCAGTAAACTGATATGAAAATAGGTTATGTAACTGTAGTTTTTCCTTATTAAGTAAGATAAAATACTTTTTAACTTAGAGGTTTTCCAAACAGGATCCTGTTGTGTGATCAGAAAGATACTCAATGCATAGTATGTGTGAATGACTTGCAGAAGAGAATAGCTCACCTAAAATATCTCTGCTTCCTGTTTCCAAAGACTCATAAAGGAGGGAAGCAAATTGATTTAACAACAACAACAAAAAAGCATTCAGGACACAATTTTCTTTGGATCACATAGGATATGATTGCATTTTCAGTTTGTTTTATAAAGACGCATACATCTGAATGAATCTGATGTTTTTCCCCCAAGAGTCACATAAAGATACAGTGTCTTATTTGTTATTAGAATCTGTGCACGTGTTTATATATTTCAAAATACATATATTTTTATAGCACTGTAGCATGTCTGATTGTAATATATAGTATTTCATGTTTGGGAACATTTCATATTTATTTAAAAATAATATTTGGAGAGATATTTGATTATGGTACTGAGTGAGAAAACTCATGCTGAATTGGTTCTCCCGTACATAGCAACTTAATTCCAGACCCAGTACTAAAAAAAAAAAAAAAAATCACTGCG